GTAAAGCGCTCTACAAATACAGACCATTTACTCTAGAAAAAGGATTGTTTTGTTTGGCACTGTGTAGTTAAAGCTCGTTTTCCGGTTAAGAAGTGTTTCATGTTCTTTGTTTTTCATTACAGGTGAATAAAAACAGGCTCAGATATAATAATGAGAACTATCAATGTATCATTTTTATATTTCATATAAAAAGACAATTGAATATGCACAAACCTAAGCAGTACTTACTCAGTAACTCCTTACAATTTGTGTCTCCTTTCCTGTTAAACACCTGGATGTTAGATAAGGTTAAATAACTCTATTCCCCACATTTTATGTTCTGTTGTGCTATTAAACATATACACAAGATTATATATATATATATATATATATATATATATATATATATCCGCTGGATTCAAATGGTGCCGCTATATTGGCACTACATCGCGGTTAGAATGTGTTATTTAAAATGTATTTTATCATTATTTTTATTATTATATATATATGTTGTTGTTTTTTTATTCATTTAAAACAAATTAAAGGGGGGCTCTGAAGCCTAACAGCTGACTAACACGCCGTGATCTTTACATACAGCCCGGTGTGTGTGGCGAGATTAGTCGTTTTAGCTTTGGCCATGCCCTAGTACTAATGTCGCCTAGGAAACGGGGCGGGGCAACGACGCTAGCGAAGCGTCAGACGGACCTGATAGGTGGAAGTGCTGCATGACACCATAGCGTGCCATGGTTCCATCGGTGTGGTGACACTGGGAGGTGAAGCGCAGTGTAATCTGCAGCTTTGCGTCTCCTGCACGGCGGCTACGTCAACCAGACCTCCGCAATCATCTTCTTACCAAGTAAGTCCGTCACTCACTCAACGACATTTTACCAGCAAAATAACAACAACCTGCAGGTTTATGTGAGTAATTGACTTATTGAAAGCGTATAAATAAAGTTTCTTATTTAGCACTTTAACATCGCTGTGGTGTAAAACCCCGTCAGTGATATTATTTTATGAATACTATACGTATGTTATTACTCTGGTACTGGTGGGCTTTTTCCCTG